CCTATATTACTCCCCTTCCCCCACAGGCGGCAATTTCCCCTGCCACAATGTGCGTCCATTTTCGTACGCGCGGGTGTATTATCATGCGGACTTGCTGCTCCGCGGAGGATTAAGCCCGAGGAAGGCGGTAATCAGCACGGGGAAACCTCAAAGGGGAAGATCTGTTAGCATAATCGACCCGGAGCCCAGGTTCATAATGCCGGTCGAGAGCGGGGGATAAGGGCGGGGAAAATGCTAGGGGAAAAGTAGGGAAAAATTCGGGGATCAAAGCACGGCGGGAGAGAAAGCGCCCCCGGGCTCGGCTGGGGCTTCAGGGACCCTCGGCCTCACGTGGGGACGCCATTTGATGTCGGCGCCGCAGGTGATGCTGCACGGCGCCGCACTGCATCCGCGAGAGGAGAGGAGGAAGAAGAAAAAAGGAAAAAAGTGAGAACGGTATACACACACACACACACAATATATATATATATATATATATATATATATATATATATATTATATATATGTATATAATATATATATATATTATATATATATACATATATATACTGTATATTTAAATATATATATATATATATATATATATATATATATATATATATATGTGTGTGTGTGTGTGTGTGTGTGTGTGTGTGTGTGTGTGTGTGTGTGTGTGTGTGTGTGTGTGTTGTGTAAACACACACACACACACATTCCCAGCACTTGTTTCAGGCTAGTCCAAAAATGTTATCAGTATGGTTTGATCCACATACAGTACTATAACATATACGCAGTGATGTATATGGTAAATGATATGCCTATCATATACCTCAAATCGTGTGTTCATTTTGCACAAATGGACAAACAGTTAGTTAAGAAGAAATTTTAATTGAAATCTACAGCACCAGACTTTAAGATCAAACCAAAATGGAAAATAAAAATCTATTTTGATACACTTTTTGGGATGGCTTTATCCGCGGTAGGAAGATTTTACATTAACATGACAAGTTACTCATTGGTCGAGACAGTGTGAATATATATATATATATATATATATATATATATATATATATATATATATATATATATATATATATATATGTGTATATATGTATTATACATATACATACATACATACATATATATATAATATATATATATATATATATATATATATATATATGTACGTATGTATGTATGCATACAGTATGCATAGCAATTATACATCTCGTACATGCACGTAAACGTTCAGTATCTTTCTTTGTTCATCTGCATTCCTTTTTTTGCTTTTTTCTAAACCTTTCTTGCCACGAGCATTCAAGAGAAGCAAGCCCCCCCCCCCCCGCCCCCCGCGCACCGAAGGAGTGAGCCGCCTCGAAGGCTCTTTCCCTTTAGACTCCCCGGCAGTGCGTTGTGGTCCGCCAGGTGGGGTGGGTGGGGGGGTGGGTCTTGTGCGAGCTACCAATAGGGTGTCGAGGTGATATTTTCTTTGCCTCTTTCTCTCTCGTCTTTTATTCATGAGTAAGAGACTAATCAGGTGGCGTGGAAGGACCTTTTTAGTAGGGGGGGACTGCCTTGATGGTCGACTTCGCTACCTTTTTCTTCTTTTTTTTTTCTCTTTCTTTTCATTCTTTCTTTCTCCGCGTAATTAATTTCTTTACGCTGTGGACGATTATGTATTTCATTAAAAAAAAAAAAATCTTTCGGGCGCGCGCATGTCTCTTGAAAGGGAAGGCGAAGGAGAGGCGGAGGGGGGGGGGAGGGGGGGATGAGGGAAGGGGGGTGAAAAGAGAAGGGGTATGGGTGGGGTGTGGGGGGGGGGGGAGTGAGCAGGCAAGGGCGGTGCCTAATCATCCGGGGAAGAAGCAGCTATGGACATGTCAATAACGTATCTATCTATGAGAAATATTCATATATAACCCTTTTCATCATGTCAGTGAACTTCCTTCGTCGTCCTTTGTCCGCGAGGTAATTTAATCAATACCTGATGAATGTTGAAGTGAGGTCGCTATCTTGTAAATATTACATATAACTAATACAAGGATTTTAGTTCACCCGTGGTTCAGTAGTGCGTCGTAGTTGTAGTTATGTATATGGATATTTTTAAATGATGGAGAATATATTTGATAAATTCTTTTACGCAAGAAAAAACTTATGAAATAATACCTTCAAATAAGAAATTACTATTGTCGTGAAATACACTTCGATATGAAATTAATGACAAAACTTAATTAATTAATTAATAGTATGCCATTGGATTGTCTTTGAGATAATTCATGCTTTATCAGCTGGTTCTCATAAAAAAACAAAAGCGAAAATGCAACAGCCTTCATACCTTTGATACCTGTCAATCGTGATGAATTATTAAAAGTTAGTCGAGAGACTCACCATTTTATGCGCAACAAAATCGTACAGCAAATCATATCCCAGAAAAAAAAAACGTGTTACCTCAAAAAACAATCAAAAATACGTTGTTAAACAACGTTGATAATCAAAATGATTTTGTCATTTGATCAGTGCA